CGAAACTACTTTGTTTGGTCTTCCAAAAAAGGACATGACTAGAAATCAGTGGTTAAGTTGTATTTACAACACTGTTCCAGAACAGTTCAACCCAAATATCCAGATGTGTGCAGCACATTTTATGGAGGACTGTTTCCTGATCCTAGAAGAGTAGACTACAATGCCGGCTGTTCTGACTCACAGACCGTAAGTACGTTTTCATTTTAAGGATTTGCCACTGATGATTCAAACGCGAGTTTTGAGCAGTGTAGAGTACGCGGCGCGATGCAATGCAACACAAGACAGTATAAGTCATTATAATCCGTAATTATGTCCCCACTGGATGCAACCAATGCCTAGACTATAATGGGTTTTAATTAGGGATGTAACGATTAACCGCGAGCCGGTTGAAAATCGATTCTAATATGTGACGATTCAAATCGGTTGAGATGCTAAACAAATCGCAATTCATTTAGGGGTAGGAGTTTATATGAATCCATGTCTGAGGGGAACTTACTGTCTTTAGAAAAGTTCAGATGGTATTTTTCTTTTCATCTTGCCTCTTTATAATGCATAATAAAGTTCATAAGTGCAGCGCTGCTTTGTTTACAGTGGAAACCAAGGAAACGCTTTAAGCGCCACCTGCCGGCAGAAAGAGATATTCTTTATAAAAATTAAGAGTCAACCACGCCTACCTAAAATGGCTCGTTCTAACACGCCCCCACAAGTCTACGTCACAATGTGGGAAGATTTGCATAACGCCGCCCAAATGGTCACGCAAGGCGTAAAGGCGTAACTTTTATTCTCGCTGTAGTATTGTTGCCGCCATGCCGTGTAGACGCTGTGTTTCGTTGTGAATACTTTGTTTTTCCAAAAGAGGACGATATCCGCTTCGTCATGCCTGGAGCTGATCCGTGCTGGTCACTGAGGAAATACATCAACTTTGTGCTGTGGATCGCCGGATCGGCTTTCAACGTGGACGAAGCGTATTCCAGCCCGGAGTCGTCACATGTGGTTGCCGCAAGCCCGCCAGATGCTCCTTCATCGAATCCGCCGGCCGCGCCGTTCTCAAGCCACCAGCCGCCGCCTCTCACTCTAGCCCGCCGTGTGTGATGCTGTGTTTCGTTGTGAAAGCGAAACTACTTTGTTTGGTCTTCCAAAAAAGGACATGACTAGAAATCAGTGGTTAAGTTGTATTTACAACACTGTTCCAGAACAGTTCAACCCAAATATCCAGATGTGTGCAGCACATTTTATGGAGGACTGTTTCCTGATCCTGGGAGAGTAGACTACAATATCGGCTGTTCTGACTCACAGACTGTAAGTACTTTTTTTATATTTAAAGAATTTGCCACTGATGATTCAAACGCGAGTTTTGGGCAGTGTAGTGTAGCGCTTGTTGTTTGTCATTTCTCCGATCACAAATGCAGACATGGTTTTATGTTTACGCAGCGCGATGCAACGTGTAAAAAGACAGTATAAGTCATTATAATCCGTAATTATGTCCCCACTGGATGCAACCAATGCCTAGACTATAATGGGTTTTAATTAGGGATGTAACGATTAACCGCGAGCCGGTTGAAAATCGATTCTAATATGTGACGATTCAAATCGGTTGAGATGCTAAACAAATCGCAATTCATTTAGGGGTAGGAGTTTATATGAATCCATGTCTGAGGGGAACTTACTGTCTTTAGAAAAGTTCAGATGGTATTTTTCTTTTCATCTTGCCTCTTTATAATGCATAATAAAGTTCATAAGTGCAGCGCTGCTTTGTTTACAGTGGAAACCAAGGAAACGCTTTAAGCGCCACCTGCCGGCAGAGAGTGAATCTGTGTCTTATTCAGCTCGTCCACTGTTTCATGCAGATTTTTATGTATAGATTCACAAAACTGAAGTCAAGCCATTCTGTTTTTGCTTCAAATTTCGAAATTATACAATCCAATTTAGATAAAAAACTGCTCATGTTGCATGTATTCAGCATCTTGGTTTGGATCATGATTAAAATGCAGTGGTTGCCACATTTTAAATGGAAAGAGCACAGACAAAGCCTTATTTTGTTTATATGAAGAGATTTATTGTATTTGTGTTATTTTTTTTATTTGTTTTAAAATTTAGTTTTGTTATTTACATTTACATTATATGTAAATTGTCATTTAGCAGATGCTTTTATCCAAAGCGACTTTCAAATGAGGACAATAGAAGCAATCAAAACCAACAAAAGAGCAATAATATGCAAGTGCTATATTAGTATATTATTATAGTTATATTTCAATTTCACAAAGAAATGTGCAGCATTTTGTCCAAGCAATAAAAAAAAGGACACATTTAACTTATAATTTGTCTTAAATCAAATTTTGTAAAAAATAAAATAAAATTGTGAATCGAATTGTGAGTTGAGTGAATTGTTATATCCCTAGTTTTAATGTTTTTGTCTCGTCGCTCCGGCCGGGACATGGCATCACAGTATGATAAGGGGCGTAACATTTCCATCACACGCTTGAGGTATTCGGCCAATCACAACACACTGGATAGCTGGCCAATCAGAGCACACCTCGCTTTTCAGACCGATGAGCTTAGTAAAAAATTGACGCGTCTCAGAAAGGCGGGGCATAGAGGAGAAACAATAACGCACAGTATGTGGAAAATAATGTTTTTTGAACCTTAAACAACACGTTTCATTACAGCAAATACACAAAATAATGTTATTTTTTAGCAACGTCTTATGACCCAATTAAAGGCTCATCGTACAAAGCTCATCTTTCTGAAAAGCGAGGTGTGCTCTGATTGGCCAGTTATCTAGTGCGTTGTGATTGGCCGAATTCCTCAAGCGTGTGACTGAAATGTTACGCCCCTTACCATACTGTGATGCAGTGTCCCGGTGTGACGAGACAAAACCAATAAAACCCATTATAAACGAGGCATTTGTAGCATCCAGTGGGGACATAATTACTGATTATAATGACTTATACTGTCTTTTTACACATTGCGTGGCATCGCGCCGCGTAAACATAAAACCATGTTTGCATTTGTGATCGGAGAAACGACAAACAACAAGCGCTACTCTACACTGCTCAAAACTCGCGTTTGAATCCTCAGTGGCAAATCCTTTAAATATGAAAACTACTAGTCAGTATTATTTGTCAGCATCATAGACTGTGGTCAGCATGCGCGCCGAAGGGGAAATGGGAACTGAATTCACCGTAACACTGGCATTGTAGGCTACTCTCCCAGGAAACAGTCCTCGTCCTCCGTAAAATGCGCTGCACACATCTGAATATTTGGTTTGAACTGTTCTGGAACACTGTTGTAAATACAACTTAACCACTGATTTCTAGTTGTGTCCTCTTTTGGAAGACCAAACAAAGTAGTTTTGCTTTCACAACGAAACACACAGCGTCTCCACGATATGGTGGCGGCAACAATACTACAGCGAGAATCAAAGTTACACCTTCTTTCGTTGCGTATACATTTGGGCGGTGTTATGCAAATCTTCCCACATAGTGACGCAGTCATGTGGGAGACTGTTTGAACTAGGCGTTTTAGGAGGGTGTGGACGAGTCTTAACTTTTATAAAGAATATCTCTTTGGGTTTGAGACTTTAGTCTTTGCAACTTTAGGGATCTTATCTATTCAC